TTCTAATTTCTAGAAGCTTGTAGCTGCTTAGATGGAGCAAAGGGTGCAATTAATTTCTGTCCTGATCTCATAGCTGCTGTTTCAAGGTTTGCCAGTACTACAGGTAGTTCTGGGTCTTGCCATCCCTGGGAGGAGATGGCTGTCAGCAGGTCAGAGACAGCTGAATCCTGGAAAGTCATTTGTGTTTCTCCCATGTGCTCCTCTAGCAATAGTCATCACCTTCCATGACCAACCATCTTTTTACACAGCAGCAGCCAAATTTACTTTTCAGGTGGCAAAGGCAGCGTGGTTATGCTCCTCCCTACAGCACGCCACAGCATTGTTTTCTGGATGGCAGCAAAAGCAGCACAAATTCTGGTTTTATACATCATATTTTTCTTTCAGGAGAACAAAAGGACTCCTTTAAGACTCCATAATAGTGAGCTGGGACCCTAACACCAAAAGTCTTGTTTTCCACTGGTAAATAAGTACAAGTGGCACTCATTCAGTACCTGGATGCTCCCCACCTTCACTGGCATGATTATGGATGAAGAGTTACTTTTTTTATCCTACAAGCTTTAAGCAGTACATATCACTGACACCACTGTATGTATGGTTAAGCTTTCTCTATTGCTCTTCAGTCCTCTTCTTATGGTATCATCCTAAATATTTTTAATCTGATAGGGAAAAAAAGTAACCTATTTGGTACTTAAATTAAGTGGCATTAATCCATACAAATCTTGAAGAATAAATGGTTATATAGTAGTTTCCATTAGGTACAAAGACAAGGTTAAGCTGGTTCTAACGGCCCCTAGTTCATGCATGTCAGCCTGTCCCTGGTCTTTGTTAGCTGAGGTGTTCTGCCCCATGCTCAAATGCACATAACATCTCCATCTTTTGCAAATGTCAGAAAGGACAGGGAGAACAGCAGTTTTCTCTGCTTTTTTTCTGAATTGGTTTGGTTCAGCATAGCCTCTTTTCCTCAAATTATGCCAAACAATATCTTTGTCCTGTGCCATTTCCCGTGTAGATATGAAAATAATTATGTCCTTGTTGCTATAGATCACGAAGCAGTATCGACTCTGACCCATTCCAGCAGCATCTTATGCTGCTTCTGACTAATTCTTGTCTTGCCCAATGTCTGTATCACTACTCTGTAGGGTGCTACATATTGTATATGGTGTTGTATAGGCTTCCTGCATAAATGATGTTCATTAAAATAGGTATGTGTACCTGTTCTATGGCTTTTGGCATATATGAAATCGTTAAGGTTGGAGAAGACCTCTAAGATTATCAAGTCCAACCACAATTGAGCTCACCACCAAACCATGTCTTCAAGTGCCATTTCCACAAGTTTTTTGTACTCTTCCAGGGGTATTTACTTGTGTATACAAACAATGTTCCTGTGACCCACTTGAAATAATCTGAATATATAAGCTGTGTATATTGGTAACAAGGATCTAAAAATATAGTGTAAACACAGTTAAACATGTCAGTGTTCTCACCTTGGAAGGAATTGTCCTTTTCTTTCAAAGGTTTCAGAGACAGGTCCTATGCATGACATTCACTGAGATGAACATGTAGCATGCATTTAGACTTTGACAGAACCTTTGTTCAAAAGGTGGAGAAACAAAAAAAGCAACAGATCAAAGCAACACAACAAACCTTATAAGTTTAAATTAAGCATCAGCAGCTGCATCCTGTCTTCTACGAAAAAGTCCAATTATTTTTGCTATGTAACATTAATGCTCACTGAATTGTAAAGCTCAAGGGAACTCAAGACACAATTTGGAAGATACAAACATTTGTTTTTCAGAAAGAGATTCATTATCATTTGAAGTAGTGGTATAATCTAACCAGAGATCTTCTGGGAATATCTTTGAAGAGTCCTGTCTCTGCAAATAAATTTAATTTATAAGAAAAGGAAATAAAATTACTAAAAAGGACCAGATTAGTACCACAAAGAGAAAAAGGAAGATATTTCTTCTAGGGGACATTTTACCCTTCAGAAAATCATCCGGAAAACATAAGAACCAAAAACCTTACTTTAAAAATGGGTTTAAATAATGGATTAAATTCTACCTCATGGAGGGCTGAAAAACATGAAAATGGAGATGGCTTTGGCCACAGTCTCCCAGAGGTGGATTTGAGCTTTAGTCTTTTTAACAAAGCACTCTCAAAGTGGTTTAGAGCAATACCAGTAACAGCAAGATATTTCTCTAGAGATTCTGGCAAGAAAAGCAGCACAGATTCAGTGCAGTTCTAGTAATTCAAGCATGGCTTTGGAGTATGTGCTCACACCTAGGCTGTATTTGCACTTGCAGGAGTTTGTTTTTTTTACTGCAAAGACATTTTCTTTACACAAAAATAATCATATAGGACTTAAATGAGCCAGACTCTTTCATCAGAACTTCTGATTAGAAGACAGACTTCTTGGGTCTGATAGATTTCTAAACTGTACTTGATACCAGAATTACAGCTAATGGAGAAGATGCCCTAATATAATCTGTACCATTGAGAAGCCTCACCATGGCAGAAATTTTCTAGAAACACAAAGCAGATACAGCTCACTGTCTTAAGCCAGTGAGTACAAGCAAATAATAGGTAATCAATGGTAGATTTATTGCCAAATATAGCTGTTCCAGTAACACATTTCTCATTCTTATTGTATTCATTTAATAATTTTCAGTTTACTCAAAGGAAATTGCAGTAGATTCCTGTTTGTTAGCACCTGCCTACACAGCATCAACACTTCAGGAGAGCAATGTGGCCAGGCAGCTGCACAGGATAACAAAGACAAACAGTTCCTGCTGGCTGAGTCAATCAGCCATTGCTTGAATGTGAAGTGTTGTATGATGTTATTAGTCATTGTTAATTCTTTTAAATATTCTTGGCTGAGAAAAGGAAGGTGTGGAGTGTGGCACCTCAAGCTGCCTGAGCTATCTGGAGCTGTGTTGGAACTCAAAATGTCCCTCAGACAAATATTTTTGGATGTTTCGGGTCCAGGTCAGAAGCATTTGAGACCCTGGCAGGCAGCTGGAAACAGCTGTGATTTTGGATTTGAATAATGGAATGATTTACCAACCTTGCAGGAAGAACAAGAAGTCACAAAAGTTTAGATATTATAGTAGAAGTAGTCACAAAGTAAAGGGAAGAATTTTTGAGTGCTGTACAGGGGGGTTTTAAGTCTTGTACATGGGGGTCAGAAGTTTTAAGATGGAGAGATTTGGGCCTGCCCTGTCCTCCCTCTCTCTTCTTCCTTACCTCCATGTTCTTGGTGATGTTGGGACTCACATATTGGTTTAGAGTAGAAAAGCATCATTTAATATAGGTAATAGGCATTAGAGAAAAACTATAAACATTTAACACGTAATGTACCATATAAAAGACAGCACCAGCCCTGGATGGGGAGAGAGAAGAAGAAGTCAGGAGTCAGAGAGGATGTCAGTGTGTGTGTGTGACTCTGCCTCAGCTGCTGAGCAAACCACAGCAGCTCAAGAAGGAAATCTTATAGGTAACATACAATAAACTACCTTGAGACCGGACAACAGAGATTTCTGAGCCTTTCTTTGGAAGCACGGGTTGGAGGAAAGATTTTTCCACCACACGGAGCCACCCCTGACCTAGGGTGAGCTCTGGCAGAGCTGTTCAGTGTGTTACTCACCGCTTCATGTTAAAAATGCACTGACTGGTTAGCACAGGCAAATCCCTGTTGGACTGCTCAGCTGAAAGTGACAATTGAAGAGCACCAAACAAATTTAGATCCTATAACCAGCAATGAAACTGTCTATATAATTCTCCAAAGTTGTTTGTGCTTAAAGATATTTCCCACAGCACAGTACAATAGCTTTGAAGATCTTTGATTTCTTCTTAAAATTGTCCTAATAATTCCTATAAATAAGAATTTTCTTTAATCTAATGAAAATATTAGTGTGACTGGTGAAAAACTTTTGACCTTGTCCCTTTTTCAATGTCAAATTTACTGACAGAGCTGTGAACCCACCTCATGCTGTCACTAGGCTGAAGTGGCTGAAGGCAAAAATGCACCTACCTGCACAAGCATAGAAAAGGCAGAAAAAGCTGCCAAAGGAGGACATAAAACCACAAGGAGACCTTCTTTGTGAATTGTCTTGGAATGAGAGGTTCAAAATATGGTGCATTCCTATAAGTATGATTTTGAAATGGCAAAAAAATAGAAAATATTTTAATAAGAAAATCCTTGAAGAAAAAAACAAATTAAAATAAAAAGATTACTATAAATATGGGGGGCGAGGGGGGTTCTGTTAGTAAAATATATTATTTTTTAATGTTATAAAAAGAAAACTGCTTGGAGAAGCTGTTACACTCTGTTGTGTGTTTTTAACCATTAATGATTTTTCTCTGTAAGAGAATTATACCAGGTATTATAACAAACATTTTCTGCAAAGACCTTTATGTGGACCAATGGCTAGACTTTTAACTAGAAGAAAAGATAGAAAATGTTCAACAGTAATAGTTGAATTTCTTTACAGATCTCTAAGCAGTAAAAAATTTTCTCAGACCAAAGGAAGCAAACTAGGCTTACTTAACTTTTCTTGCAAACCACGGGTGTGTTGCATCCTAAGTTATCTGCCAGACTGCTCTCAGCAACACTGGCAGTTCTCACCTAAAACTGAGCTGCAAAGTCTAATTTTCACAGTTTGACTGATAGGGAAGAGAGTTTTTGAAACAGCACAGACCTTAAGACAACTACTTTTTTTGGGTTTGTTTCCTGATAATCAGTCTTCTGTTGGTTTTGTATTATTTCTGAATGTTCAACTTTTATTATCATAATGAAGGAATTAAGGACAAGTAGGAACCAAGCCCACGTGTACCAAAAATGTTTCAAATACAGAGTAACTACAAGTTATTTTCCTTCCAAAGAATGAAAAACTTGGAGTGGGAAGGATTGAAAATTATGCAGATAAAAGAATCAGTGTGACTGCAGGAGGGGTAAGCTTGTTCTTCTGGTAATTAATTACTTTTTTCTTTCATTTGAAAAGAAGTATTTCACTGGGCTTTCTGAGGGATTTCTTTTTCCTCTGGCTGGTAGGGTAAGACTTCAAGGATTTTCTCCCATAGAAGAGGAGTGGAAGGATGGACAGAGCAGTGCTGGAATGAGAAAATTGCACCAGTCTGGGTAAGAGATCAAAGCAATAAATGCCCAATCAGCAGGTGGTGGAGAGTATCAGCTGGGTGTCATCCTCATTAGCTGCCTGGGGGCTGGTGCTGCTGGTGCTGCTGCAGGCAATGTTTCCTGGTTTGGTTCCCTGCTGCAAGCCCTTCCTCATTCCAGGAACAGCAGCGCTGGAGGAGCTTGTGTGTTTTCAGAGGTATGTGAAGACCTTCTGAGTTGGGTTTGGTAGTTTCCATGGGCTGATGGTGGTGACCAGCTCCACCTCAGATCCTGGAAGCACAAGAGGAGCCCATCATATGAATATGGCTGCAGGATGGGATCCCAGGACCTGGGCCTGCCAGTGCTCACCCAGGAGGGAGAGTTTAAAACTGGAGAGGGTTTTAAATTATCCTGCTAAGGCAGGGCAAGACATCCATGTGGGATCAGACCCAAGCGATTCTGAAGGCATCACAGTGAAATGTGTTCTGTTTGTTAGTCAACTGCAACTTGACTTGGAGAACTGAAAAGATTAATTTTGTCTGCAGACTAAGCATAGGGAAGGATTTTTGGATGAGCCAAACAAATTTTCTATCTCTACAAGCAAAAGTATTAAAACTGCATTGCCTTTAAGATATTTGTGCTGGGTGATATAGTGCAGCTGAAAAGTTAAATTGACAGTAAATTGGTGTGCTACTTGAATTTAGTATTTATTTTCATTAGAAGCAAAAGGCTGTTGAGTTATTCTTAAAGAAATTGTCATGACATATTTTGATGTTGCTTGTATAGGACCAAAAAGCTTTTGTAAACTGCATGCTTAATTTTGAGTGCAGGAGTCTTATAAGCTTTTGTTCTTGAAGTGTATGGTTTTTTGGTTTTTTTTTGTAAAGTACTTGGTGACATAAGACTTCTCTGGCAGCAATTGTCAGTCAGTGCAATTGAGATTAACGTAATTTTCTCCAAATAATCCTTATGCCTCCAGAGAGAGAGATTTCTATGAACAACAGATTTCCCCTAACAGAAAAAAAAAAAAAAATCACTTTTTTAGCATCATCTTATACCTTATGGAAAGGAGATGATGGAGGTAGTGAGGAACAAAAATACTTTTCTTTTAAAATTTCAAGGGAATTGTATTCTTCATATCTCTTTGATGACACACAAGTTTCTTCTCTTCACAGTTTCTGTATTTAAGCTTCTTGTAACAGACTCTGCATAGTTATTCATATATTTTGTTACATTATTTTATGGGCACAATTAATACTCAGTATTCTACTAAAAAATACTAACCCTAAATTATCCTAAAATATATGAGCTTGATGTTCTGGCTTAGAGCAGAAAGACACTGATAAATAATTCTTGGATCCTTCTTCATGAAGTAATGTTTCCTGTCATGTGTGGTTTGGGGGGGGTTTGCTTGCTTTATTGTTTTGTTGTTCTTACTGTGATGGGTTTTCTTATTTATATCATTGTTATTATTATGCTGTTGGTTATTAGAACATAAAGGCTTTTCTTCAGTGCTGCCACCTTACAGAAACATTCTTATCCAAGATTTCTCTTCCCAAGCTGTAATTAATCTGGTCTAGGTGCTTCACTGAATAATTACTCATCTCTTCTGGCATTTCATGAAGCTATTTAATCTCTTATTTCTTCAAACAGCAAATGTTCCATAGTTGACAGGTATCATTTTTAACTTCTTTCATAGTGCAGAGATAACGCTCACTTTGGGGCATGGTAATACCACCCTGCTAACTCATTTGCTTCCCACTTATGTTCTCGCACATTCCTTCCAATTCTTCATCTGGTTGTTTGTACTAAAGAAATTAATCTACCAGAAAAAAAAAAAAAAAAAGGAGGGGGGTATTTAATACTTATTTCAGATATTTCTATGAAGCTTTTCAGCCACAGCTTTATTTCTCCCCATGACCTCAGCTTTGGCAGTAGTGTCCAAAGGTTGCAAAGGAGATGGTTGTCTCACCCTGTGTGCAGAACAACCCTTCTTCTGAAGGATGTGGAATAAGTGTTGGGTGGGATCTGCAGAGGTGGAGAGGTGTTACTCTTGCCTTTTTATGAGCTCCTCTTGAACTTCTGAAAGCTGTGAATCTCACAGCAGCAGAAGCCACAAGCTTGCACAATCTCCTTCATTCCCCATGCTTGCTGGTGATTGTACTTGACCCAATAAGCAGGACAGAAACACACTTCTCTCTCCCCAGAAGTGACTGTGAGGAAGTATCTAGATAGAAGAAATTGCTATTCCTATGTAGCATGTTCTGATAGATGGAAAAATGCCTCTTTACGTTAGTGGCAACTTTTCCTGTTTGCATGCAAAGGTTATTCTTTATAGCTAATTTTTATGTGGCAAATAACTCACGTGTTATTCTTCACGTGCATTAATGAGGTTTAAGACCAGTTGTCAGTGTTGTTTCACTGGCTTAGAACCATGCAAGAGAAATGATCAGCCTGTAGCCTGCTGGGGCTGTGAAAACAAGTTTTTGGTTTGCTCTGTAAACCTAGAAGAAAGACATGGGAGGGAGGAATTTTTTGTTCTTGGCTTATTTTTTCCCTTTAAACAGAGACCACAGTGTGTGTGCAAGCACCATTCAAATTAAAGAGTTAAAGTGAGTCATTAAAAACAAAGAAATGGTAACAGCACTATCTCTTCTCCTGCGATCTATTACTCAACTACTTCAATGTAGTATATTCCCCTGGAAGAGGATGAAGAGCAGACCAGAGGGTGAGAACATGGTGCACAAGGTGGCAGGGAGGACACTCAACTGGGAGAAAGTAGACCTCTGTCTCAGCTGCTGATGTGTACTCTTTGAAAAATGCAAGTGCTTCAAGAAAGAGAAAGCAAGCCACTGAGTAATCTCTGACAGATATTTCAAGCATTTCTGTGGAACAGGAGAGAACAGGTTGCAGGCAGGGAAAATTTGAACACTAATTGCTGTGCTGTGAATGTAGCCCCTCAATAATATGTGGGCACATACTCCTATTAAGACTTCATGTATGTAGCAAAAGAAAGACTTAAGGCATGAGAATGAGCCAAAAAAGGAGTAGGTTTGGAATGAGAGTCACAGAAAGCTGTATATTGGAAGGGACCTCTGTATTTCACATAGTGTAGCTTCATTGTCTGAACAGGGCTTAATTTAATGTTATCTAGAAAAGGTTGATCCATGTAAGTGTCCCATCTGGTATAATGAGACTTCTTCTAAACTGCTCTCATTTCCAAAAGCAAAACATGAATCTTAGGAAGTGCTAGAAATGAATCATTTGCATTCATATTATATTGGTCTAGTTCAATAAAGCATCATATGCCAGTCACAAATGGGGCACTGAGGTAAGGTGTTGCAAGCTATGCCAAGGAGTAATAAAGAACTGGAACTAATCTAGGAAGTGAAGAAGCTTGTGATGCATAATAAAACAACAGAGGAAGATTAACAGAGGGAGCACAATTAGAAAACGTCAAATAAAACAGGAAAGCTTGGCTGCTTATTAGTTTTGCCAAGTGACTTAGCAACTGCTAACATGGAACAGAAAGCACAGAACAGCTTTTCAAGCCTTTCGTTTTTCTCTTTTGATTAATGATCAGGAGATTGTGGTGTTAGAAAGGGAAAGATTAGGATATGCACAGATTGATCCTGGCGTGGCTAGTGTGAAGATAAAAGCTAGAATAGATTGAATAGTTCCAAGTTCAAGAGCTGGAAATTTTAATATGACAAGCAGAATAAGCATTTTAATGCAGATTAAATAATGGTATTTCACTGGAAGTGTAAACAAGTGTTCAATTTGAAGTCCATGAAGATTGAAGGAAACTATTTAAAATTGTCAGCCAGAGGAAACCTTGGAGTGGTACAGTGTCTATTCTCAGTGTTAATTAGCTTTCAGAAAGAAAAATTATACTTTCATAAAGGGTTTTTGATGTCTTTGAGAATGGTACATAGATAAAGAGTGTTTCTCTGCTTGCTAAAATCATCTGCAGGTGGCCAGGCACTGTAGTCCAGGGGGAAGCTGGGCAAGGAACATAGCAAGGACCCACCTTCTGTTTCATGAGGTGACTTTGTGCAGGTGATAGGGCTTTGCTGGATGCTTGGCTTTGATTCAAAGTTCAGATCTTAAACACAGTATGAGGGAGAGAAAAATGCTTGGCAAGGTGAGGTGAGGCCACAGAGTGGTGTTAACTGGGAGAATCCCTGGGCTAGCTGTGCAGCTCATGCTGGTTTTCATCGCTGCATTTGGATTTTTCTGCACCCTTGCTGTTTACATAGGCAGGGTAATATGGAGATGCCATGAGGGAAAGATGTGTCCAAAGCCAATGGAGCTGCTGGCTCTGGCTATACCCTTGTGCCTCTGCTCACCCAGAGCCCTGGTGCAGAAACATGAGAAGTGAGGAGAGTCACAAACTATTCACAAAGGGTGTATGCAAATTGTCTTGAACAAACAGAAAAAAAGGTGGACTAGGAAAGAGAAAACCAGTTTGGCTGCAGATCTAGATCCTGTTAATCGTGGATATAAATGTTTCTTACGTTCTGGGGTAGAGTTTCTTTAAATTTCAGAAATTGCATGTTTTCATGTAGTCAAGAGATTTACTCCACTGGGTGCCTGTCTCTTTTCATATTTCAAACCATATTTTATGCTAGAATATTTTTGGACTTTGTAGAGATTTTGTCATTTTAATATTCTCCTGTGAGAAGAAGATATGTTTTCTTCTTTTGTCTTTAGTTCTTGTCTTAGATATCTGGTGCTCCTATTTCTTCAATGTAGCCTCAGATAGAAATTTGTTTTGTTCCAGCTAGAAAAATACAAAAGAAAATGTTATTAAGAACTGGAATTCAGCTGTAAATGTTTGTACAATCCTCTCCTCAGATGTTCTTACATAGTGGTAAATAATACTTTTCTGAACATGACTAAGCATTGCAAATAAATGTGAATATAAATGTGCCTATTTTAGTGATACTGTAGACTAGACATACAGGGGTTGAGTTGTACAGCTGAAGTTGTTTCTGTCAATAGTCAATATCAATTCAGCACTG